CCTAGTAGCGAGGCACTTGTTCCTAGTAGCGAGGCACTTGTTCCTAGTAGCGTACCTTGTTTCAACCTCTTCCATGTGTTCGGCTCGCCACTCTCCCCTCAAACGCCGGTCCGGTCCTTCGCGCTTGAACGGATGCGTTGACGACAACGCGGTCACACGGGTGGGACGACGGTCGCCGCCGGGTGGGTTCAGGTTCTTCCGGGAGCCCCATGAGGAACAGGCCACTTGATCGTTTTCACTCTGGACCGGAGGCTCTTGTTCTGTAGCCCTTCCAGTCTCCAACCTCACTTCGGGCGTTTTGGGGCGAAGAAGTCCTTTCGAGATCTTTCGGATGTATTTCGATAGAATGAATTGAGATGCCTTCGCCCGAGTAGCTGGGTCGCCGTGTGCCACGTCTTCTGGCCGTGGGCGGCGTGGGCTCCCTTGGATCGAGGAGAACCTGGATTCCGCTTTCGATCTCGAGCGAGTTTATGGCTTCCTCTTGAGCACCTGGGAATGAACAGAGTGGCAAAAAAGGGTGGTGAGTGGACGAAGACTTGGGATCCTCTAGCAAGGATTCATTCAGATTCATTGCCATGGGATCTCGCAAGGTGACGAAGACTCAGTCTCCAACTGTTGGTCCTTTCTTGAGTTTCAAAGATCGTGAGTGCAAGGGCAGCAATGGGGCGGCAAGGAGGTTGTTCTCAACTTTGCACTTACGTTGCATTTCCTGAAGGCGCAGGCAAACCCGTTTCGCATCTATATATTGGATGCCGACGTGCTGGGCAACAGGTCTTGTGGTCGGCAACCGCCTCTGTTTGAATGCCACGTGCTCATATGTGCTCGCTGCGACAGCTTTCCCCAAAATTCAAAGCTGCGATGTTGGCATCCTGTGTTAACCCACCAGACAGGTTTCTGGGATGGTGAAATGTAAACCCCTCTTCCGCAAGCTGTGGCTTCCTGTGGGCCCAAGGTTCTTATGTGGGTGAAGAAAATGTAGAGAAGCACCTGGCAATGGAGAGCAAAGTGCTGATGGATGCGGATGCCGAGACCCTTGAAATGCATGAAGATGACGCGAGACCATGGTTCGCTTTTCAGGGAGGAGCCAATGTGAAATGGCAATGCCGCCAACAAATCAACAACAAAACAAACACAATGAACACCATAAAGGGATAGAACTTGGGTCTGTCTTATTATACACCTGTAACAGTTTTCCTATGACTGGCAATAGGATAGACCCAAGATAGCACACCAAATCTTTCACTCCCTGCCCTGACGCACATTTCGACCATGTGCTGTCGAAAGTCGGTGAAACGCACGTGGTTTCAGTGGTCTCTCGCTTCCATTGCCAGCCTTTTGTTGGAGAAACAAGTGCATTCTTTGGTTCGGTCACGGTGAACGTCCAAACTGTTTGGCTTGGTGCAGCGGGACTGAACAGATTCCAAACGCCCGGTGTTTCCAAGGAGGAATCCCATCGCGCAAGCTGCCCAGCCTTGGTTTGTGGGGCCCTCGATGCTCGCAATGCTAGGCGAGGTGAGGACAAAAATCATCAAACATCCCCAAGCAGTCTCCTGCAGCCTATTGGAGAATATGATTATATTATATTATATTATATATTTATATTAACTAATTATGACTCATACCTTTTCATGACAATTGTGTCTAGAATTTAGATTAACCGCAGGTGTGGCAAGTGCTGAGGACTCCCTTCTGATCCCTTTCAGAAGTATGACTCAGTATTCAGTCTGAAAAAGGACTCATGACACCTGAACCTTGTGCCTGAGACGGACGTCGGACCCCTTCGGTTGAATTTCAGAATTTGCTGCCAGGGGCAGCGTCCTTCGCTCTTTTCACTTTGGCACGGCGGCACAGCCACTCCAACCAAAGGTGGGCGAGAGTTCGCTCATGTGCCGGCGCCTGCCATCAATTGGAAGTGTCATTTTTGTTGTGCATGTCCCAAGCAATAGGACATGGTGCCGTGAATGGCAGATATGGTTAGGCCCAACAACCAATATTAGAAATCGCCACCGGCAATGGACCCTCTCCTTGGTGTTCCACTTGCCACGAAGTCCGGAGGCTGAACTCATGCCAGTGACATTTTCCCGCGGGAGCCAACGGAACATTGAGCATTTGGTTGACCTTCCATGCAGGAAAACTGTCGCAGGAACTGCATTTGGACTGCTGTCAAAGGACATTTTTCATTTCCTACTCCACCACGATGGTGGGGCGGTTTTCAGAGGGCAGAGTTCTCTATTTGTCCGCCGTCCGCAGGTGTGGCGTCACCTCTGACCCGGAGAGCAGCGAAGCCTGGGAGTGAGCCGGCTCGCTCTGGCTCCAGAGGTCAGTGGTTCTGAGAAGGGAGATCTGCTGCAGATGACCTAAAGGGTGCATCGATGGCGGAGCAAAATGAGGAATAGTCGGTCGAATGATTGGAACACGTCTGACGAGCAGGCACATTGATAGAGCACTGTACAGGTTGTAGCTTTTGCAAACGTGCTTGCATGATGAAAGTAAGCAGTGACAGGAGACGTTTGGAGAGCTTGTGGGTTGGTTCCGGAGTTGGTGATTGGTGATGACCACAAACAGAAATGGTCATCGTTTTGCCCTCTAGATTGCTCTCCCTACAACTTTCTATCAACATCATGATGGTTTATACTGTATACAGTACAGGTTTAAGCTTTTGGAAAGCCAAGACATCGTGCCGCATCTTTTCCGTCATGGACTCATCCATGTGCATGGCATTCAAAAAGCAAGCCGAATAATAACCCAAGCTTGGCTCCCAACACATTGCCTGGACGCAGACTCCTGTCTGAAGAACATGAAAGACCCATTTTGGAGACTTTTGGCAAAGGCCTGTATGATTGTATGTTCATCTGGTCGGGGTCGTCGCCGGAGGCGCAGTTGGAGAGACGAGCTCGGGACTTGGAGGACACACGACATGGAACCCCAGCGGGAGACCATGCGGGAGACCATCGGCCGTTTTTGGAGTCCATGTGGTGCCAAAGAAAGATGAAGACAAAGGGTTACCACGAAGGGTACCACACGGCTGGACGGACTGAACACATGGACAAGGATGGAGAGTGCAGAAAAGTGTCTCCAAACGACAGCCCTAAAAACAAATAATTTCATGTCCCTTTTCGTGCTTCAGGTTTGGTTTGCTCACAGGCAACTGGAATCTATGAAATAGACATTGTAATACAATTTTATACCCAATTGCAACGCATCATAGTAGAGATGAAATTATATAACTATATATATATATATATTCATATAATGCCTTCTACATTTAGTGTAGAAGAGGCACATAGTTACTTGCTTTAAATACCGGTCCCTGGTTTTGCAGAGAGTGATCGGTTTTCCTGTTACACGTCGCCTGGCATGGCCAGATGATGTCTTTCTTGGAATCTCTCCCGGCTCCGCGCAGGAGCAAGCAAAGCGGCAAGAAGAAACTGCTCGGTTGCAGATGCACATCCTCGAGGCATTTCCCCAAGCAGCAAAGCTTTTTACGGCTGTTGCGCAGATGCGCCTGTGACGGCGGACCTGGACGGACCGGGACCAAAGCTGGATCCGGAGGTCCAGTGCAGAACGTCCGCGCAAGTCACTGGGGTCGGACGCTCCGCTGCAGGTGGAGATGAGGCGCTGCGAACAGGAGCTGCTGCAGAGCCACTCAAAGGTAGAGGCGCTTCCCCCGGGTGCCATCGGGCGGGTGCCATCGCGGCTGGCCTGGCAGCTTCATCACTGCATTTCGGGGGGCTCGAGCGCGAACATGCAGGTACCTGTAAACATTTGCCCCACTTTTCCTAGATGGCATGGTGGTCTGGCCGGAGCTCTTGATTTGGGCTCCACCTATGTGTCGTGAGTCAAAAGCCTACACAAGATAATGCACCCTAGGTGTTCCCAGCAAGTCGTATGTCACCAATCTGGTAGAAGAATAACGGTGTTCAGCACCTCCCCATTGTTTTGTTGTCGTAGTTTGTGTTCTCAATGGATTTGATCCTGCATGTTGTATAAATACGTAGTTTAATCCCATCTGTTCTGGATTTGATTCCGTCGTTTTTCATTCCTTTTCCGTTTCGGTGCACCGCCTGTGCCTGCCAACGAACACACCGACTCTGGCCGTTGCGGCACCCACGGAGGCTCTTGAGAAGGAGCTCCAAGTTCTGACGGAGGAGGTGGGGTGTCGTGACTCCCCCATCTGCTCCACCTGTCCTGGATGGAGCTGATGGAGCCGATGCCATGATGACTGATGGGAAGGAATGAACGACTCATGATGACTCAAGAAATTCTGGCACCATTCCCATGAGAACTCTGGCCAATCTCTGTGGGAGGCATTGGGGAAGAAAAGGGATCCTCAATCCTCTTTAAGTGTTTCTTTTTGGTGTATTTTGTGTTTTGCATCGGGGAAAACAGACGCCTCTTTATTCATGCCCGGTTTGGTTCGGCCGTCTGTCCACGCGAGTCCTCGGTTCGGTCGCGATCCGACGGCCCAACAGCGATCCGAAAGGAAAGGAGAAGGTATGAGGATCGACCGAAATGGACACGGCTCTGATGGGTCTCGAATTCCTTTTTCCGGAGAGTCTGACTCACTCGTGCGAGCAAATGGGGAAGATTCCATGATTCTGAGTGAAGAGCACATGTTCAAAACACCCAGGAGCCTAACCCATCCTAACTCCTTCCCCATGCCCTCCCATGTCTGTGTGCTTGGCCAGGTGAAGAGCAAGCGCAAGAGCGAGGTTGGGCCTGTTGTTCGGAGCGAGGACTGACTGATGCAGTTACATAGATTAGATGAAATGGACCTGACAAGGCACGTTGCGACCGACTGGCCCCATTGGTGGATAGAGGTCGACATTGCGGGCCTTGAGTAGGTTCGCCCCAAGTCACCAGGTTCGCCCCAAGTCACCAGGTTCGGCCGAACTTGAAGCAACGGATAGCAATGGTTCACTTCTCCTTCTTTTGGCGGGGTCTGTGTTTTTGTTGTTCCAAGTCCAAGTCAATTATCTGAAAAGGGGGCACTTCCCTACAAAAGCACATGACATTGATGTTGTGTAGAGTGTAGAGGGTTCTCCACTGCACTGGATCCGCAAGTTGTTCCCGGATCCATAGACATGAAGACCCATGTTTTGTTCATACACTCACTGAAACTAACATAGCCCTTGTCAGACAGACTGGCTCTCTCTAGGGGGGGCTGTGCTTTTGTAAGGGAAGGTACCTTACAGCAAAATACACACGGCCGGCCAAGAAGTTAGTTGTTCATTTGGTGTGGGCTCCATGTAGGGTTGAAAGTTGACAAGGAACCTTTGTGGAAGGGGTGCCTGGAAGAGCTTTCTCGATCTGAATGCAACTTGGACCTAGAAGTGCTAGACTAGCACTATTGAGTTTTGCTGCTCCCCCTTCTAATCTTGTTCAACCACTGCGAGGGACCAGTTCCGAACACCCCAAAAATCCAGGTTTCTCAGATGGGTGTTGCTCAGATTCAGCAGCAAAAAAGAGAGAGAGAGAGAGAGAGAGAGAGGAAGAAGAACACAAACACCGAAGGAGGTTTGGTCCATGTAGTCTTCACGGTCTCTCCACGGTCCAAACCGGCTTTTGGACACGTCCACGAGTGAACACCGGATCCCGATCCGCAGGGCAGAGCTGCCACTTTGCAGGCCACCCGGGGTGGCGTTGAAGGGGGGTATCTACCCCACCTGGGGTCTACCCCAGCGTGTTCATGTTTGAAAGGGGGCGAGCATCTCAGCCATTTTTCGCAGATCTGTTTTTTGGAGCGCCAGCTTCAAGGGCCGACGCCGCCAAACTAACGCGCTGACACGTGGATTGTATTTTGCTGGAGTTTTTGGTTTGCATGACTCTCTTCATGTCATCAACATGGAGAAGGACAGACAAAAACTTCAACAATCTGACCTCAACCATCCTGTCTGGGTGTCCGGACGTCCGTGGGCACCACAGGATGGTCGGATATGTTCTCCTTGGGCGTGGATCGACCCGATTCTCTCGGCGCGAACTGAGGCCCGTGGGCAAACACTTCACCCTTCCAAAGCCTTTCCCAGGCAGTTCCAAGAAATCGAAGACAGAAGGAGCTCTCTCTGAGCTGGAGGCTTAACCTTAAGTCACCTGAAGTCCGAAGCCGAAAACCGCATCAACGGAGCCTCCTCCCTGTTTGGAAGCCTACTGTATAGGTCGTGTGGGGCAGTATTCCACCTCCGACCCCACAGACCCTATGGGGGGGGGCGGCTTCTTCCCTGGCGGCAGGACGCCGTGCGAAGACACGAGATTGCGGTGCGAGCCTCCTTCGAGGTGGGTCGAAAGGAACATGAAAGTGGTCCAAAGTGGTTCTTTGTTGAAGAGAAGTCACCCAAAGTGGTTCTTTGTTGATGAACCACAAGTCACCCACTTTGGTCCAGAAAAGAGAGCAGGGAGGCCAAAGATTCACCCAGATTGTCCACTCGCAGGACTCGGAAGCACCGCGCCCGCGGCGGAAGAAGGAGAAAGCCCAGGAGCCGGGGGGTCGGGGTCGGGGTCTATTGGACTGGACCTGTGACGGTCCCGCATGAATTCTCAAGGATAATGAATTCTTGTGTAACAGCTGATAGAATTGTTGCCCCAGAATCCATTGTTTGAAGTTTGGTGGTGGAACGGTTCGTTTTGAAATCCCATTTCTGGGGCATTCATCAACGGGAGAAGATGATGGGACCAGTACAGTAGGCCAACAATCGAGTCTCCGGTCTCACAGCTCTGCTGCATTGTGTAGACCGGAGTTTCTTCCTGTTCAGTGCAAAAAGCTTGCTCCGGAGCAGTTGTTGATGGGCCTTCTTTGTTAAAGTACTGGCCTATACTTGGCAAATCCCAATATGCAGTCCCCCATGATGTTTTGTTCAGGACCATGATTGGATCATGATGGTGAATGAATCATGAATCGATGTGGTTTACCAGACAAAGGTGTCTAACTCCACACCCCTGTATGACCTGCTCAGCTTCGCTGAGGGCTGGTTCTCCTGCTGCGCGGTCGAAGCCACGCCCAAGAAGCGTATTTAGGCATTGCATTTCAGGGGAAGGTCGAGAAAAGGAAGGGATCCCGACCCCCAAAAAGGCTTCAGGGCTATTGCTGGCATGCCTCAAACAGAGTTTTTTATATACCAGGAGTCACAAAGGGGTGGTAACCTGGTATTTAGTCCCTAAGTGAGTGGATCATGGGCACCCTAGCCTTCATTAAGCACCCCTTTGTGACTTACTTTTTTTGCATATGTTCGAATATAGGAACGAGCAAACTGCATCTGTTCGCAATGCGTTGAAGCCGCTCGACGTTTCCTTTGCTCGAGTCATCGGGTCCGACACCCAGATGGGAAATCCCCAAAGACAAGCGAAGATCAACCAAACGTGAGGGATCGGGTCACATCCATACGGCATCCAGCATCGTTTCAAGATGTTTTCAAGTCAGTGGGTCGGAAGTAAGCGATAGACGGATGGGATTGGAATAGGTAACATGTCGCCAATTCCAGTCCCAATCGTCTGGTCTAAACCTCTCCTTCAGTGGAACAAACCACGATGAAGCGGGACGACGGCTGTTTCGGGGTCAGGCGGGAGCCCATCACCGGTCGGACGGGTCGGACGGATTTCGACGGGTCGGACGGAAGCGTCGAACTTCACCCAGACGGTCGTGACACGTGACACCTATTTGGCTCTCGAAAAGAGAGCGTGAACGCAGCGCGAACGCAGCGAGGTCTTTTTTGGTCCATCGAAGACTTCAAGCACCCCTTGAAACCGAGGTGTTTCACCCATCGTTGAGTCCGACAGGGCAGTGTCTGGTTAAGTTCGTGGGAGTCCTGAGTTCCGAGTCACTGGTCACCAGAGCATCCCGCGAGGCTGATGGAGCATCCCAAATGGGAGTGATGGGATTTCAAGCAGGTTTGGACGGCGTCTCCCATCGATTCTGAGCAGAGAAGTAGGGTATTTTGGGGGCCTTCAGAAACGAGTGATGCATTTTGAACATCAGGAAGTTCTTTGTGCATGTTTTGCATGCTTCTTCCAAGAAGCTATAAGATCTTGAGATCTCAGACTCATACCATGCCAGATGGGCCAGATGGGAGCAGCTGACAGTCGGAACCTGTGGACTTTCGCGCCGTATCGCGGCGCAACCCGTGTCACCCGTGCGTCAGCGCATGTCTTCAGTGGCGTCGTTCGGAGTGGGGCAAGCTCTGCGCTCCCAACGGACTCCAACGGACTCGAACGGACCAGGTGTGGAAGTCGTCCGAAGTCCAAAGGCTCTACTTTTCCGCTACAGAAAAGATCTAGTCCAGGATCATCGGGTTTTCCAGGATCAGAGAATTCTTTTTCGTCTTTAACTCCCATTTTGCTTCGAATATTGTTGAAGTGGAATTGATGGGGAGTTTCAGAGGTTCGCTTCTACCTTTGGGCTTGCCTTAGGCATCCAAAGGCATGCCTTTTCCCAAAGCTAGGCGGAAAGCTCCTATCAGAGATCTTCTTCCAGCAATTTTGTTTGGGATCCTGCGAACATTTTGGGTTTGGTCGTTTGATGTTCGCAAGTGCCAAACGAAAACACATCAACCGTGGAGAATCCAAATACGTCACGGAGCTCACGAACTTCACTCGTGGCATCTCATGACCATCCGCTGGTTGTGTATTTCCTGCAAGTCCAAAGACCTAGTAAAACCATGTGAAACCTTTTTGTTAAACCTCTTGAGTAGTGTTTTTGTATGACCAGCTCCAGTAGAATGAGGTCATTGACTTGTAGGGCATCGGTTTGGTGCTGCATTTGAACCAGGTTTCTCACGCATACACACATCGCCCCCCGAAATGGACGTCTCCACCTCTGACCCACTGCTGATGTGACAGATGTTAGTGCTCCGCCGTGCTCCGGTGAAAAAAGGCACCTCAGCCCGTGCGGCACGGTGAAGATCAAACCTCGGTCCAGTCAAAGGCTGAAGTTCGATGCAGTTCGATCTGACCGCGTCCCGGGTTGAACCTGACCTCTGCGAATTGATTGCCACCTTCCGAACGCTTCACCGGATTTCACCGGAACGTGTTGGACCTCCCCACCATGGAGCTCATCTTCCCTCACCCGCCCTTCGACCCACGGCGTCCTCGTCCGACTTCCACCCGGGCTCCCCCCGTCCGCGGGCAACGCCCAGTCGGCAACCGCCGAGAGTCCACGCCAGCACCGGCGCCGTGCGCCATCACAACGCCATTTGAAAGCACCAATCTTCGTCCGCACGGAAGCTTCAAACGACCGGCTTCCCGAAATCTACCAGATCCAGCTCGATCTCAGCACCTCGTGGTTTCCGCGCTGGGCATGCCCCTGCCATTGGCACAGTGCTTGTGTGGTTTCCGCGTGTTGCACTACATGTTTTTGGAAGAAGTGCCGATGTGGATGCGGCAAAAACATGTTGCGGCGTTTTGTGGCAAGCAGGTGTTGAGGCAAAAAGCAGGTGCGGCAGGTGCGCATGTCTTCTCCGACGGCTTGGCTCCGGCCACTGGTGGTCGTTAGCGCGACATCCGGTTTTGTGTGTTGCTGGATGGGTGTAGGATATATACAGCATATATACACAATATAAATACATATTTAGGAGGTGCTGTGCTGCTTGGTGAGTGAGTTTTACGTTCCAGGTTGGGCTAGAACAACACGCGCTACGCGCTGCTACTCTTTGCTACTCGCCGCTACTTCAATGGATGGTCTAAATGGTGAAAGCCATTTTTGTGTTGGGTTGCTACTATTTTACTTGACATACTGTCAGCCTTCTTTCCTCCTCCTCCTCCTCCTCCTCCTCCTCCTCGTCTTCACTCACAACACATCAACTCATCTCACACCAACTCAACTCACAGCAACTCATCTCACAAAACTCAAGTCATACTCTCACACCAATTGATCTCACACCACTTTTCCGAATGGCAGGAGGGCGCCGGTCCGCTTTCGTTCGGGGACGACTCCTGCCTGAATCAAACCCACGGATCAGATCCACCGTGAAGCCGAACGGTGCCAATTCCGCTCAACGGCTGAAAGACATCAGGGGTCAAGGCGGATCGCTGTGCAACATACAGGAGCATGCGCGATGAAAGCATCATTCGGCCACGCCCGAAGATCTCGGCCGAGAACTTCTCGGCGGCAGAACACGCGGAACCACTTTGCTCGTTGCAAAAAGCAATTTGCTTCGAGGGAGTCAGGCAAACCAACCCCATGCTCTATATGCTCTATACTTCGCCCTAGGCTTGGGGCCGGCCAGCTGTGTTTGCGAACAAAAGTTGATACACAGCAAATACCATGGCATGCAATTTACAACAGTGGGAGCCTATCACTATGGATCGAACCTATCCAGTCCATCGTCCATCACCCTTTTTCACCTCATGGGGCGCATGGCAAGGTGGGGCTGGCTCGAGACCTTGCGTTCCCTCAAGTGGCCGCGCCAGACGGCAAGCCCGGGCCCACTATGCCACTCTGCGACATCAGGCAGCGAGGCTTCTGTTGCAGCAGAATGGTGGCCGCAGTGGCCCCCCCAACGAACTAGACGTGAAAAGCTGCATGTCGGATTCAAGCACCCACCTTCATGAAAGAAATCGGTAGGGGCAAACAGCAAAACCTTAAAAAGAGACAACTCATGGTTGCGTCTGGGATTTGCTGGAGTGCTGCCGGAAAGTAGCCGAGGTCGCGCGGTAAGAGCAGCCGACTGGCGTCGTCAAGTTTAAGCTGCTAGTTGCGAGTGTGGGTGAGTGGATTCAACATGTGAACGTTCCAACCCTTGGCATCCGTTTGCCAAACAGACACTTGATGATTCACTCACAGGAGGATTTGGAATTGGCCTTCCGTGTCGAGTTCCATCACTCCAAAGCGGTTCGCCTCGAAGCCTTCGCTGTTTCTGCGTTCCGTTGGGTCGGGCTGAGGAACCGTCTACCATGCGATTGGACACCGGTGGCGTCGACCAAGCGTGAGCTCCGAACACGCCAGGGTTGAGGCATGCGCGACCGCTGGACCGCGTTCAGGTGTGACAGAGCGTGTTTCTTGCGCCCAGTCCAGTGTGATGAGGCATTGCCCACGTTCAGGTGGATGGTGAACAAGCCGTGAAGATGTAGCTGGACGATTTCTTCTGTCAGTTTTGGTAAGCATGGGAAGGCGCGTGGCGTGCGGGACTTTCAGCCAGGTTATTGAATCAGGGCGTTTTACGCTACCTGAAACAGATTTGGTCACGTCGCCCCGCAACTTAAGGTTCCGCCATAGCACTCATGACCGTGCAGTGCTTCCAGTTTTGGAATTTGGTTGCCTTGTGCTGGCGTGGTTGCAAAATACCGTTTATTTAAGTTACTTAACCTGACGTCCTTGCCCTCTTTTGACTTGGAGCACCAATGGAGTGTTAGGTGTTCCAATTCAGGTTGGGTGTTTGGATTGTATAGGGAGTCATGTTGTGAATTGCTATGCCGCTTGTGTGCTTCGATCCGAGAGAGAACCACATTTTGATGTTCTTTTTTTTGGCACTTGGATCTTGTTTTTTCGATTCTGTGAAGATAACAAAAGTAAGAGAGCAGGGAACTGTGCATAGATTTTTTAAATTCAATTACATATTATCGACTTCAAAATCAAATCTATTAAATTCTGTTATTTTTTGATTCTAACTCACTATCATTTACTTCCACTTTGGTTTTGACCAAGCACCATATATAATCGACTTTTTTGAAGCTAATTAAAACACACACACACTTGATTACTTTGCAATTCAACTAAATTAGAATACTTTGATTATTTGATTACAAGTCAAGTTCCAAGTAAATTAGAATTTATTTAACCGTGCTTAACCTAGGGCCCGGCTAGAATTGAATTAGGGCCCAACAATGAATTGAATTTAGGTGCTATTTGCCAAGACTTTTCCAGGATCACATCAAACCCCGGAGAAAAATTGGGAACGCCTAAAAAATCAGACCCGTGGCAGAGGAGAGGCTGGACAGGGGACAGGTTTGATTTTTTTTTCGTCCATTGGCTTGGGCAGACCAACCAAATCAAAAAACAACCTGTTAACAATTCAACCCCATGA